CAGCCTGGGCTACATAGTGAGACCTTATCTCAAAAAAATTTTAAAAAGAGAGAAAAGGGAAAAGGAAAGAATGTATATGAGGATGAAGGGGGTGGTTAGAGCCTATACTCACCCATGGGAGATCCAAATGGAGGTCCTCGGGGTGGCATGCCCATTGGAGGAGGTCCAGGATGAGGCATTCCAGGTGGTGGTCGGGGTGGTGGCTGCCCTCCAGAGCCTGGAGGTCCAGCATGTGGGTGTCCTAAGCCATGAGGGCCATGGTGGGCCAGCTGCATCTGAGACATCCCTATGAAAATAAAAAAGACAGAAGGAGATGGAAGGCAGAAAAGCAAACAAAACAGAGAGAAGAGAACAAAATGGCCAAGAAAAAGACAGACATGGAAAAGGGTATGGAAAATAAGGCTGGTAAAAGTGCCCTATCTTTGATCCCATGCCAACAGTATAAACCAGCAACTACCCACTTTACTTGTTCCTGCTTTGATTTAGGCACTGTAACAGAGATGCAAAATGTTGACAGGATTTGGGAAGGCAGCCAACACACTATCTGAGTGAAGATCTAAGGGACAAATAAGAATTCTTCAGGAGGACAAGAGAGTGGATATGACTACCCTGGGTAGAAAGAATGATACGTGCAAATCACAGGCGTGTCAAACAGCAATAATGCACTGCAGAAAATTCCTATAACTGGGTAATCAGGAGCAACATGCAGTTATGGAAGTCATCTGCAAGGGCCAATTCATGAAAAGCCCTAAATACTATAGTAATGAGTTTGGGTTTACTCTACAGGTCAACGGGAACAACAGAAGAATTTTGAACAACTGTATGAACATTTGATTTTTGAGGTTTTCTTTTTTTGGGGGGGAGGGGGGTACTGGGAATTAAACCCAAGGCTTCATGCATGCTAGGCAAACATTAAACTACTAAGCTACATCCCTAGCCCTAAACATCTATTTTTAGAAATATTATTCTGTGAGAGTAAATCAAAGAGAGTTGGGGCGTGGCAGAGTGCTGGTCTAGCAAGCACAAGGCACTGAGTTCAAACCCCAGTACCACCAAAAAAAGGGAAGGGAAGGAAGAAGGGAGGGAAGAAGAGAGGGAAGAAGAAAGGAAAAAAAAAAATCAAAGGTAGAGAAAACTGCAGTCAGAGTGACAAGAGATTACTACAATAAATTAAGTGTGAATCAATGAGGAAATAAGAGCCTAAATAAACTTGGGCAATGGCAGTACAGCAGACACCAAAGAGATACAAGTAAGATTTGACATGAGAAGTTGAGTGATAGGGGACAGGCAAAATCCCAAACTTATAAATTAAGCTCCTGAAAACTAAGACAACTAAAGGAAAAAAGTTGTGTGAAAAAGAGGACTAGAAAAGTGAAGCTATTTGCTGGGTGCCAATGGTTCATGCCTATAATCCTAGCTACTCGGGAGGCAGAGATCAGGAGGGTCGTAGTTCGAAGCAAGCCTGGGCAAACAGTTCGAGAGACCCTAACTCAAAAAAACTCACAAAAAAGGCCTGGCAGAGTGGCTCAAGGTGTAGGCCCTGAACTCAAACCCCAGTACCACAAAAAAAACAAAAGTGAATCTATTGAGCAGTAGGATTATGTAAATGGCTTGTTAATAACCATCAATGAGACAGAAAAAGAAACCCAGGAAGCATCAGTATCTACATATTTAAAACTATGGATAACACAAAAAAAGGAACCAAGCATAGAAATCTAGTAAACAGAGAAAAAGGAGCTTATCAAGGCAGCTGAGACTGACAAATCAAAGATGGAGAATCCAGAAAAACAGAAACAAACTGAGACAGATTTTCACACAGAAGACATGGCTAGTTGCATGTATAGCAGAAATTAAACTAGAAAAAGGGAAGTTACCTCCTAGATCTGATAATTGGGTTACTACTTTGGAGTAAAGTCAGAAAAGAATAAAAGTAAAAGCTAAGGAAACAAAAAACAGCAAATACAGATTACTCTTCAGAAAACTTAAGGAGACAGTTTGAGAGATGTTAAAGCATCCAGAGTATAGTATAATGTGTTTGTGTTAACAAAAGAGTATCTGAAAGAAAGGAGAACTCTGAGAAAATTATCATTGAAGAACAAAAAGCAGCAGGAAGAGTTGTGAATGAGCCCCCTCTACCAAGCTCATCTCTCCCTTTCCCAGCAAACACCTACCTGGATGGGGCATCCCACCTGGTGGGAATGGATGAGGATGTGAATGTCCATGACCAGGATGTCCAGCCCCTGGGGTTCCTGCTGATGGGGGACCATGGCCTCCAGCCCCAGGAGGCATTGGTGGTGGGGGCATGGCAGGGGGTATCCCAGGTGGCAGGGCTCCAGGAGGTGGTACTGGAGGTGGGAAGGAGCCAGGAGGAGGCATGCCTATACAGGAAATGAGAAAAAGACTTCATGGCAGCAAACAGAGTGTCTTAATGTCCCAATCTAGCCTCTCCACATGTGGGTGAGCTGTTCATTCTCCTCCCACCACTATAAAGTCACAATAATGTTAAGACAACTCAAACAACTTCCTCTTAAAGAAATCCAACAACTTTCTTCATCACCATCATCACTCTCCATTCCTTTCTCATCACCCCTGACTGGAAAGTACTGCCTTTTCAGGTTCTTTTTTCTTGCTTCTGCCCATCCCACCCCACCAGCCCCAAGACAAATATAATTTGAATCAAAAGCTTTACCTGGTGGAGGAAGCCCAGATCCCAATGATGACACCACAGGATTTGGGGCAGAAGGTGGAGGGGGTGCATCTGCAAAAAGCTGATGAGGGCGGTCAGCCTGGGAAAGTGGATTCTGAGCTGCCAGAAGTCGTTCAGCTGCTGAGCCATGGCGCTCACCCTTAGAGTCCTTCTTGAAAGCATAAGACACAGTGATAGGGCGATTACAGAGGTATTGCCCATTCATGGCCTCGATTGCTGCATCCGAAGCATCGAACGAAGCAAAATTAATAAAGGCATAACCTTTGGAGTTCCCTGTGTCAGGGTCCCGCATAATCTTGGGGGTTTGTAAGATGACCCCAAAGGCGCTGAAAGTATCATAAAGCAGCTTCTCATCAATTTCCGGGTCCAGGTTCCCAATGAAAATGTTGGCCCCTACATCCAGGTTTTTGTTGTGAGCTGATGCCTTGTTCACCCGTATAGGCTTCCCATAGAGTTTGATCATATTCATAATCTTAATGGCATAGTCAGCATCTTCCTCACTCAAGAATTCAACAAAACCATAGCCTGCAAAGGTGAGAACAGAAGGTTAATAACTCAAGTGAAGAGATTCAAAACTTAGTATATTTCACTCACCCTCCCATCACAAAAATCATGAAAATAATAACCACCTCACTTCAACTGAGAATGGCTCCAAAAACTGTGAACTGACAATTAAGAGAAAAATCTTCGAGAAACTGTGAACTGAAGCTTAAGGGAAAGAAATCTTTAGGTTACTTACTCCAAAATAGTTGTGAGTAGCCATTTATTTATCCCTTATCCCTTCAATATAAACTGACCTCTTGCCAGGTACTTACCTTGGTGTTGGCCAGTGACTCTATCCTTTGGCATATGGGTGTTGACTACTGGTCCTGCCTGGAGAAACAGTTCCCACAGCAGGGGTTCACTGACTTTCTCGTCTAGACCACCTACATACACAGTGGCGTCTAAAGACAGAGGACAGGAAATTAGGGCAAGGGTGAGAGTATGACAAGGAGTTGGTGGGAAAATCGAGATGGGATTAAAGGAAGGAATTGAGGGGGTGGGCGAGAGTCAGAAGCAAAAAAAAATTTTTTTTAACTATGTTAAATTAAGCTCTTAAACCTCCCCGCTTCACAAGATCTAGAGAACCCGCCAAAGACTAATACAGTGCTCTGCTGCAGAGCTTGTCTTTCTCTGTAAGTTTCTATTATTTATTATTTGTGTGTAGTGGAAGGGCGGAAGAAGACTGGCCCAAAAAGCATCGCACCTACAGGCCGCAGCCTGCACCCGGCCACCCCGCCCCCAACCACCACTGGGGCCAGTCTTGCGCCCTCCGGGAGGTTTAGTCTCCCAACCCGGCGGAAAGGCTGCAGAACCTAGTCCGGACTTCCCATCTCTCCTGGGCCCATACTGGGTTTGTTCCCTCGAGTTACCCTGGTTCCGTTCGGAGATTGGCCCGGCAGCCATGGCGAAAGAGCTCCCGCCGTCTCCAAGCAGCAGCTCCGCCCTCTGACCTCAGTTACTACTTCCACTTCCGGGACGAAAGCGAGCGATGGGCGGGGCCGTGGCGGGGAGGGGCCGGAAGTGCGCGGCCATCTTAGGAGCCGGTGAGAATACACGGCCCGCGAGTGTTTCCGGTCTTTGGTCTTGAGCCGTAATTCACCTGCTACTCGTTACAGCGATAAAGGTAGAACAGGAATGCTCAGATCTAAAGGCAGTGCTAGGACAGCGCTCCAAAACACGTGAATTCAAAAGCTAAAAGCACAACACTTTGCTTTTCACATACTTTGGTAGCCAAGCGATCCTCCCTTTGCTGCCCAGAGAGGGATGTGCTGAGAAATTCCCCACCCTGTCCGAGGACCCGCCTGCCTTGGGGTGTGGAGGCAGCCTTCCATCTCGGCCCACAACCGTCATTCACATTTGTACTCACAGCCCTGGCCCGGGCTCCAAGTATTTGGTTTTCCTTTAGGAGGAGGTTGAGGAGTGCTGAGCTCAGATAACCGTTTAACTGCGTGAGGGAATCTGAGGCTCCAAGATGGGGTGCGGACAGCGTTGAGGGGTGGCAGGGATTGTAGTTCAGAGATCTCAGTCTCAGCCCCAGCAACATCTTAAAATGCTTGTCCCACCTCCCTCTAAATGAGACATAGAAAAAAGAACCCTTTTCCCAAATTTGATGTGAATTATACAGAGCTTCACCTGACCCAAATCTTTTTATCTCTTTAATAATAAGGGTTCTTTCCTCTCGTGAGTCCCACCCACACCACCCACCACTGTTTGCTGGCTAAGATCCTTACAAGAAACAATGTCAGCCAACTGTAGAAATACTGTGCTTTAATGAACTCCTTAAATAGAAATGCTACTACAAAAATGTACAATGGGAAGACACAGAGTGTCTCCCACATCCACCTCATTCACACACACACACACACAAACTATAAAGGAAGAAACAGAAATTGGATTTAAAGCAGCAGCAAGAGGGAGTGAGAATGTCTTCAGGACATCATAGTGGAACTCGTGAACAGCATCTCTGATCTCACAATTTATTAACAGTTGGTTATCCAAAAGGGATGAAATTGCCCCTAAAAAAAAAAAAAGTAGGCAATCACAATCTGGATTGTTTTTGTTTCTTAATTCTTCAGATCACAAGAAACAAAAATATCTTTAGGAACCAAACAAGACAGAAGAACTGGAGATTAGCACCACCATCTGCTACAGAAGCTCAAGTATATTAAATGAGCTTTAAGGGCTGGAATGTGAAAAGCTGAGGCAGCAAGGCCAGATAGGAAAAACTGAAAGATTAGACAAAGATTACCCATATTCCTCACTGCCCTGCCTTTGATAATGCCAGCAGTTTCAACGGGATTGGGAGAGAATGGTATGTGGATCTCTTTTCTTGCAGTGATCCTCAGGAGATACTCTGGGTGTCCATTTTCTTAATAGCTCCTGAAGACAGGATAGTTCATCCTGGAGGCCAGAGACTGTAAGAGCTGAGAGGCCCATCTAGGGAGGGGCAAAGAAGGGCAGAGAAGAACAGTATTTCCCCCACCTCCCACACCCCTAGCATACCCAATTTGACAACAGGGATGCTACATGACTTCCCAATTCTTCCAGGCTTTTGCCTTTCCAAGTCTGTTCATCTGGTTGCACACTCAAGCCCTTTTTCCCACTACTAATCCGTTTTCCCTTCTCACCTGAGCCTCAGGCCTTCCCCTCAGGTAGCAGCGTCTCCAGAGTCTGATCTGAGGTCCCACATATCCAGGCAGCAGTAGCCCTGGAGGTAAAGGGCAAGCTCCCCAATGTGAGGGGAGCCCCCACTCCTGGTCAGCCAGGCTTTCTGAGGAGATGGCAGGTCGAGGAAGCCAACGAGAGGAGACTGCTAGCAGGGAAGGACTATCTCGCCAAGGACAGAGCTGATTCAGGGGAGTCAGAGCCCCTCTAGAGAAGAGCCACACAGAACTGGGGGGTCCAGGAACTATGAAGCTTGACTGAAGGGGAAGAGGAAGTTAACTGGTAAGTAAGAAACCAGATAATCCCAGTCTGGGTCAGGAAGGATAGTCCTGCTGCCACCCGCTCATTGCACTAGTGATTAAAACTACAAACCTCTCCTCAGAAATCTACACTCCTTGTAAGGTGTCATCTAGGCCTCAGGGCTCATTGATTTCAGAGAAACTTGTAAAATGTGGGCATGAGACAGGAAAACTAATAAACAGAAATGTGGACTTCTCTGTTCTCTCTTCCTTGGGACTGTCAGGGACTATAAATGACAAGTGCAGAAGGGAGTGAGGTAGCTTCCCCCGAGGAACTCAGACATTGTACTTCCTACTTCTCATCTAGTAGCATGAGCCTATGGAAAAGTCAAGGGAATTTAGGAAGTTTAGGCATCTCACCTGCTGTCTAGGGAACCAGGAGTCCGGGCGATGCTCCGGGTTATAACCAGGATTATGGAATCGTAATATCTGTTCATTGTTGTAGCGCAACTCCCAGTCCCAGACAGACAGCTGCAGGTTTACAGAGTTCTCAGCTGGGGACTGGGAGTTCCCTGGGGTGTAAACTTGTGTGTAGGAGTTGAACTAGATAAGAGAGAGCAAGACAAACAGTGAAATAAATGAACAAAATGTCTGTGTGTGTGTGTGTGTGTGTGTGTGTGTGAAATCTTCCCAAATCTAGAGACAAATCACAAAACTCTCACCTATTTCAGGCATCAAATGTAGAGCAAAAGCTTAGCCTCAAGAGTGAACATTTACTTTCCCCTCTCCACCCACAAAACTCTTCTCATAAAACAAATCAAGGTTAAACTTCAGAGAGTATTTCTCAGTGTGTGTTGGGGGTAGGGAAGGCAGGAAGACAAGTCAAAATACAGGTCACTGACCTGTCCACTCTGCTTTCCACGCTCCCAGGGAGTATTTCTCAGGAAGGTAAGAGTGTCAGGAACCCTGACACTGTCATGCAGAGCAAGAAGGAAAAACTCAGAGAATTCAAACTCAGCTGGAAACTGCTGAAGAAGCTGCCAGACACAGTCAAGGAAGAGGAGAAACACTGGGGCCTGAGAAGAAAAAAATTAAGAGGTTAGGACTGGGGTATGGCTCAGGTGGTAGAACATTTGCCTGGCAAGTTTGAGGCCCTGAATTTAATCCCCCAGTACCACCAAAAAGAAAAAGAAATTAAGAGGTTAGGAGGAATTGTAAGGTTTTGGGGACCTAAACAGGTTGGATGACAAAATGATAGGGGGAATATGGGGAACAAGATAATAAGGAGGTCAGGGAATGAAAAATCTGAATCAAGAGTAGGAGGGGTTTGTGGGGCTTCACTTCAAGCTCAGTCTAACTTCAGGACCCTTCTGACCTGACTCCTCTCCAATGGAATATACTATATTATTTTTCTCATCCCTCTTCCCCCCCGCCCTTTTCTTTTTCTGGGTGGGACTGGAGTTTGAATTCAGGGCTTTCCACTTGCAAAGCTGGCATTCTACTGCTTGAGTCATACCTCTAGTCAATTTTGGTCTGGTTATTTTGGAGATAGGGTCTCAAGAACTATTTGCCTAGGCTGACTACAAATCACGATCCTCCTAATCTCAGCCTCCCATGTAGCTAGGATTACAGATGTCACCAGCAGCCCCCTTCTATAGTAATACCCTTACCACCTCCTAAATTGTTCTTACCTCTTCACTGGTCCCAGTTGCCCCAAGCCGGGTCAGGAAGGGGTGTCCAGCTGCCACCCACTCTCGCTGCACTAATGATTGGAAGCCAAACAGTGTTCGGGCTTCAGGGGCCAAAAGCAGCTGGACGAGTGAAGAGAGGAGGCCATTGAAATCACGATCACCGCGCTCTGGGTGATAAGAAGAAGAAAGGACAAAGAAGGGGGGGTCCAAGAAACTAGGGCAGGAGAGAATGAGAAAAGGAAACATGGCAAGGAGAAATGAGGGGCACAGAGGGGGGAAGTTTAGGACAAGAAGGATTGAGAGGGCACATAGAAGTGAAGAGAAAACAAAGAGTTTGAATAATTCACTTCATAGACACCACCTAGATAGAAAAACCCAGTTTCACATATATAGGAGGTAGAATCACAATTTTCAAGCCAACTTTACAGTGCTTCCTACCCCAACCTCAATCCCCTTCCACTGATGGAAGGAAGGGGAGAGAGAGGCTAAGGACATCCAAGTGTTAGGGACAGAAGTCTGTAGTGGGGAGGCAAAGTTAGCTCTGAAGGATGAGCGCTCATAAGCAGTCCTTTGTAACAGGAAGATGCTAGCACTAACAGGGTATAAGGAAGCTTTATGGCTCAACCCCCTTGAACACTATCCAGCCAGGTGGGTAAAGGAAAAGGGCAATGAATGGAGTGGGCTGACCCAAGGAACTCACCTTGAAGCACTACAGAACGAACTCTGGATGTCACTAAAACAGAGACATCACTGGCCTTTCGAAGACAAGACCTAGAGAAGCAGATGAGGAAGAGGAGGAAGAACAATAACCCTGGAGAAGGAAGTAATGGGATGGAATAGAGGCAGACTCCAAAATCCTACCATTCTTCCAAGAAACAACAATTACAGTTTTCTTGGAAAGCCAAGACAAATTCACAGGTCATTTAGGAACCCAAGTTAGCTTGAGGAAGTTGGAATTATAAACTGTGGCTAGAAGGCAAGGAGTACCTGATGTAGTCCAACCATCGTGTTCCTTCCAAGGCTGAGAGCCATTTATCCTCAGCTACAGATGAGTCTGGTAGAGAGTAGAAAGATCAGAAGGACAAAGAGGTCACGTGAACTTGGGACTGGGGATTCAGGTCTATAACCTGGTGGGCTAAGAATAAATCAAGTAGGACTAGAGGTGTGGTAGAGGGCCTGCTTTGCAAGCACAAAGCCCTGAGTTCAAACCCCAGTTCAAATCCATCAAAAAAAAAACGGTAAGTCAGATAGTGGTTATGTAAGGCTCAGGGCAGAAATGAAAAGTAACTGTAAGGATGTGGGATGTAGCTCGGTGGTAGAACATTTGCTTCACATGTATAAGGCTCTAGGTTCAGTCTCCAGCACCACAAAAAGAATTGTGTTGATGGTTGTACAACATTGTAGATATAATAAAATTCATTGAATTATACACTTATAATAGGTATGGGTGCATTTTTAAAGCTATTTTTAAAAGAATAAGTTCAGGGCCAAGAAAACAGGCAATAAGTCATTAAGATATAGGAGTTGAGTAGGAAACTAAGGATAATTGGGCTGAAGAATTATTCATCTATAGCAACCAAAGGGTAAGCCAGGTTAGAGTCAGCAGACCTAGGGGTGAAGGGTCAAAAGTTGTTCTCACCAGGCAGGCAGAGGGCCCTCAGTTTCAAGTGTGCAAGTTGGACATCTGCAGGACCAGGCAGCTCATCCATAGTGTCTACCAGGACAACATCAGCATGCCCAGCCTGGAGCATAGTCTCCACTGCTCTGGAGAGGAGGGAGTCAGAAAGTAAGGGAAGGAGTCTTCCCTGAGCACCTAACCCTGTGTCTTCTCATCAATTTACCTCACCTGATATCCTCCTTGTTGGGGTCACTGGCTGTATAGAAGCCTCCACAGCGGAGAAGATCACTGCCCCCAGGGTGATGCCAGGACAGGCGCTTTAGATGGGTGAGAAGGTCACTGTGAGAGAAACTAGCCTCAAGCTACCCTTGCCCCACAATGACCTCACAAGGATCCTTTCCTCCATATTGTATCCACACACACACACACACACACACACACACCTCCTGTGACCCTCTAATCCCCAACCATTACCCTAACCCTCACACTGACCGGTCCTCGGCCCTGATGGAAGTGGCCAAATGCTCTCCTGACCTCACTGTCCAGAATTCGGTTAGGGACCCAGAAGTAACGGGGAAGGCTGCAAAATTGAGAGTGATGGTACAGTTTGGCTCAATGACTTCTATAATGTAAAGTTGTTATTACAAGGAAGCTGCTTTGGAGAGAACATTCCAAAGGATCTCAGGTTTTGCAAGCAAGGAGGTAATGGGTATAGGAGGCTGGAGTTTGTGGGAAGTCCTAGCTTCAGGGGCCAGGTTACTATGGGGAGATTGGGAATGCAGCAGGGGTTGGAATACACTGAGAGATCACCTGGTAGATACGTCAAACCTCTCATTGACAGTGCTGACTCTCCAGCATCTGGCCCCCTGCTTCTTCCGCTCAGTCTCCCAGTCTTCTAATGTCTCCAAGAGAGGAATAGGGGGTTTTCTGGAACTAGAACCCTGGCCTGGTACAGGAGTGACACACAGGAGGAGGAAGAAGAGGAACCAGAGACAGCTTTTCAGCTCTTTTGTTTTCAGCCAGCCCCTGCTTTCTCAGACTCCTTTGCCCTTTCCTTACCCCCACAGCATGCTCACTCACCAGCCTTGCTCAGTGTTATCCCTCCATACAGATGGGTTTGACTGCTTTGAGCTCTGGCTTGGACAATGGCCATGGTTACCTGTGTAGGAAAGCACACTCCATCCTTTTGTCTCAAACTGAAGAAGTAAAAAGAATGAAAATAGAGCCCTTATGTTGCTCCACTGTCTTTCCCACCAATAGAGAAGAACAACAAAAACAGACCCTAGAGAAGAGTTTCCACAGGCCATGGGACCTGGGATCAGAAGAATAAATATAGACCCATAAAATCACAGAACATTGATTCTGGGAGGAATCTTAGGAATAATACCATCCACACTTTGCAGAGCAGGGAACTCACCCAGTCACACTGCTAGTAACTGGAGGAGTCAAACTTGTATTCAGGCCCCTTACATATTTGGGGTTTTTTAATGCTATTATTTATTTTCTCTTCTCCTTGAGGAAAGGAGCAGGAAGAATGATGACAGGGACCCGGGAGTATTGGAGTTGCCACAGAGAGGAACCCAAGTTTCTAAGGAGAAGAGAGATCCTACCTGAAAGGCCTGAGGCTCTAATCCTCCAGCCTCAAAACCAACTCTGAGCAATCGGAAGTCTCGGCCATGAACCAGAATCTCCTCAGGGATGAATTTAAGCTGGGACCCTGGATGGAGCTGCACTCGGGACAAGCCACTCACTAAAGTCAAGAGTTAAAGAGCAGGGTAAACATGGGGTCCCTCTGGGAGGAACTCTTCCAGCCCATCCCACTCCATTCCTGGCTGTCTTGTGAGAGAATGCAGGAAGATGAGAAGTTCCAACATCCCTTTTACTGAACCCTCAGACTTACCAGCTTCTAATCGTCCAATGTTAACGAGGGTAAAATCATAGTCACTGCTCAGGGGCGTGTCCTAGAGGAAGCACATGACTGATGCTGTACAGATATCTGAAATACCCTCATTTTCCTACAGTGGTGGTCCCCCATCTCTTGGAGGGAGCAACCTCCCTAGAAATAATCCCCACTATCACTGAGACATTCAAAAAAGTCCTTCACCCATGTTTGTCTAAATCTTTCTAGAACCACTCTACCTCCTGCCCACTTATTTCACTATTTTTTGCAATACTGGGATTTGAACTTGCTAGGCATGTGCTTTACCAATTGAGCAACGCCCCCAGCCCTTTTTGCTCTAGGTTATTTTTTAGATGGGACTCATATTTTTGTTTGGGGCCAGTTTCAAACTTGCAATCCTCCAACATAAAGCCTCCCTCTTAGCTGGAATAACAGGCATGACACTACACCCAGTTTATTTGTTGGGATGGGGGTCTCCTTTACTTTTTGCTCAAGCTTGTCTCATACTGTGATCCTCTTGATCTCTGCCTCCTGAATAGTTTGGAATTACAGGCATGAGCCATGATGCCCATTTCTTTTCTTTGTGTGTGTGTGTGTGTGTGTGTGTGTGTTGTTTTTCAGACAGTCTCACTATGTAGCTCAGGCTGGCCTCAAATTTACAATCCTCCTGCCTCAGCCTCCTGCATGCTGAGACTATAGACATGTACCACTAAGCCCGATTTCTACCTGTCTTTTCTATTGCCTTAATTATCTCACCTGACTCCGCTCCCATCCACGGGGCTGGAACATGACCCTAAAGTTGGTGCAGATCAGGGTTCCAGGCAATTCAGGTTCCAGCCCTTTCCTCAGTCCTGGGGCCCATGCTAGGATCTGTTCCCCTAAAGGGGAAGAAGGAAGCCAGGTTATAAACTACCCCCAATGTTGACCATATTTGTGTACACCTACTCCTTTTGAGACAGGGGGATCCAAAGAGGGAAGATTAAAATCTTCCCTACTAGAGTATAAACTTGAGGAAAAAGAATTTGTATTTTTTAAAAACTCTGTAACTAGAACAGAGCATAGAACAGGGCCTGACACATAATAGGCACTCAAATAGTTATTAAATAAGTAAATGAGAAAAGGGATAATAAGGTCAAGAAAAGAGGGAATATCAATGTCCAAGCCCTCAACAGCTCTGGGTAGAAAAGAGAGTAAGCTTCAGGCAGAAGCACTTTGAGCCAGGAAAGGAATATGAAGGTATCTTTGGTGAGGGTATGAAATTAGGTTGGGGTAGTATAAAATTTATAGGAGACTTGGGAGATCAGATTATTACCTGGTAGGCATCCAGAGGCCAGGCAACTGCTAAGCTGACGACTCTTGGGCTCAGGCATCCTGCTTCCCCAGACAGACTGGACAGACTTTGGTCCCGAATGCTGAGAAGGATGGAGGGTTAATCCCAGGCCATCCCAACCCTGGGGCCTGGGATTACCTCAGTAGCTGTCTTTGGAGGCCTACCCTCAGACTCTGGGGAAAACAGATCAATGTCTGCAGGGAGCGCTGGACCCAGGTTGGCAGACAGTAAAGGGAGGGGCTGGTTAATGGATAATGAGACCACGAACTTGAGACTGTGAAAAAGGCAGACCAAGCCCCATCAACAGAAATTGCTATGACACACCCTCTTCCACTAGATCCTTTCCTTCCCCCTTTATCTCACAGCATCCTCATTTAAGCCCTCTCGCCAGCCCCCCACATTCCTTCTCCTTACCCCCATCTGTGACTCCTCCTTCTGGGGAGCAATGTTGAAACTCTGGCCCCGGCCCCCCCACCACATTTCTCTTGCTCCATCCAAAGATGGAGCAGTTAAGGGTAGGAAACCTCAAGGATGCTCAACCCTTCTGCAGAGACGCTGAACCTTGTAGTTGAAAAGGAAGTTAGGGGTAGGAGGGAGAACACAAGGAAAAGCAGCATTTGAGATGCACAGAGCACAGTTTGGGGTCTTATGAAAGGTGTGTCCTGCCTAGCCAGAGTAGGCTCCTCGGAAACTTCAGTCGACTGTAGAGAGGGCGGGAGAGATGCCCAACCCCTTAAAGGAGAACACACACAATTTTTGAAAAGAAGAGAGGAAGTGGAGAAAGATGGGAGAAATGGGCAAGTGGGAGAGAAATACCTAGATTCCCTCCTTTACCCCATCCCCACATCCCAATTGTTCATGAGTATTGGAGACTGTCTGAGGAAGCAGCTATACTGATTGTGAAACTGGAGTAATTTGGGCTACCTCTCTGAACTCTTTCAGTGATAAGTAAAACTCTTCTAAGTTTTGCTGTTGTTTTTCATCTTCTTAAAGGGGACACATGGAAGGGGGTGGACAGGAATGCAAAAATAGTTCAGGCCTACTAACTGCCTCCTCCAACAAACCTAACAAAAGTGGTTGAGACAGGGAAGTAAATGAGAATTGGACCTCAAGTTTTGCCAGAAGAGACTGAAGAATTGGGGAGGAGCTGGCCAAAGTGTATTTTTTTTTTTAATGTGTTCTTTTCCAGAGTGTGTGAAACTTCTCATGTGAAAAGTGCAGTGGAGACCTGTATAGAAGACAGACGCAGTGCAGGTATGTTTGTGTGCACAGTCTTGGGGGTGCAGCTGGGAGGAAATCTTATCACTTAACTTTACCTTTGCACACACTGTGTGCACCTCCCCTCTCCTGCCCCAGTCAATTGGCCTTAATACCCCACTCCAGTATGTGACTCCACCCCTCCAGCCCTGACACTAGATCTCCAAATGAATGATTCATGTTCAGGGCTTTCAAAGCTGAGGGCTGGAAACGTCTTTTCAGCTCCACTACCACAGGCCCCTTCTCTCCCCACTGCAACCCAAGAAGCAAAGATTTGGGGGGTGGGGGGGGTGGGGGGTAGCTAGAGGCAAGTGAAGGAAATACAACTGAGGGTGACTTGGGGACACCAGTACAAATATGTTTAGACATGAAAAAGACAGGAAGTAAAATACAAAATAGGAGTTAATGAGCTGCTGTTTTATTGTTTCTGAGTCTGTACAGAGGCAGTAGTCCTTAGGTGGGGGCCCCAGTTTTCCACAGTGACATTCAACTTTCCCCTCCCCCCAGTGCACACACCCTTTCCAGCCTCTGGCTTAAAAAAAAAAAAAAGTTCCATCTTGACTGCAGCTGTGGAAAGAGTGAAGATATTATGAGACAGGCAGTCCAGAACAAACAGGTCTACACCTGCTAGGAAACAGCCCGAGATGCCTGGTTCTAGAAATCCAAAGGCTACTGAGAACCACCACTCCACTTCACCTTACTACATTTTATGGACCTAAACCTCTTGGAGGAAGAAAATATTTCCCAATATCTATTGTAGTAAGAAAACAGAGCATAGGAAGAGATGGGCACCACAGTTTTAAAATCCCATTATCCTTCTCCCCACAACTCTTCATTCAGGAGCATCATTCTGTTCTTTAATACTTAAGAGGTATGGGAGCAGAGGAATACAAAGGAAAAAAATCAGAAGAATGAGCAGAAATCAGAGGGAGAAATAGAGTTTTTTTTAAATCACCTCCCCCCAAGTTGGGTTACTTGGATCAGCACCTAATCAGGAATCCAAAGGGGCAGCAGCTGAGAGTTAAGTAATAAGACTACCTCTCAATACCCTGAACAAACCGAGAAGTTTACTGGATAAACCCAGAAGTTTATTGGATGAAAGGAAGGGTGAAGAAAGGCAAGAGGCTGAATCACATTTTTCCATTTTCAGAATCCTGCTCTGGTTGCAGGTTTGTGCCAGAAGTGAAGGCTGCTGGGAAGGGCAGCCAGAGGAGGGGGGTGGAGCTGAGTGACTCACAAGATGAGTCACAGATCATTTTAAGCACAGAAAGAGGCCAAGGTTCTTCCCACCCCCCACCCCCACTCCTCTTAGCCAACTTCAGTTACTCTTTTCTATTGCTCCTTACCCACGTGGCCAATGAAGGGGGATGGCATAGAGAAAATCTACATGGAGACATAATATTTTGTTAATCAGCTTAAGTACAGGGGCAAAACACTCTGTGATTTGCAAAATGGATATCTGCAGAGAAAGAGAAAGAGTGCCTGTATGACTCACTGAATCTGCAGTTAAAGGGCCTAGAGGGAAAGAAGGAAATTAGAAAAAATTGGAGTGCAGGTGATTCCAGGCTGGATAGGGCCTTCTAATTCTGTCTTCTCACTCGTGGCTGTAGGCTAGGGGGCACTGCCTCCTTGGAGAAAGGACAGAGTCCAGAGGTGTCTGAGTTAATCATGGACAAAAATTTTTGAAAGGCTCCTTTATTGAGCCTTGGACAATAATGACCAGAACCTTGGACATGTGGTTAAAAGGTTAAGAATGGCAAGTGCTAAGGTTTTAGAAGTCACTGAGAACCATCTCCATTCTTCCCAGCACAATATTGCCTCCTAGATATACGCTATGAAGTATTGGCCTGTGGGCTTTAGTTTTTCTTTAAAAAACTGAATCTACAGAAAAGGGAAAGTACCTCTATCCTAAGGCTCTACATAGTACACATTTTAAGACCATCCCCTACTCTTCTTAGAGACTGAATTTTTTTTTTTAGTGACATAATTGTTTTGTTGATAAAAAACAGTGCAAGGTAAAAACTTTTGGTTGATTCTTGTAATGCTCAATGAACCAGCATGGGTTAGGAGGAAGGGATTTGCAGGCCTATTCTACAGCATATTTGTTCCATTGCGGACAGGGTTAAAGGAACTAAGTGCACTTGAATTTAAGACTGAGAGGTGATGTCATTCCTCATTGAGGGTACAGGGTCTGTCTTCCCCCTTCACTCACATACCCTTCCTTAATCAAGGAAGTTTTGCTCATTTGAGTGCCCACCACGTAACCCTCACTTCTCTCCAACACAGTAACTGCATGGGTTTGCCTGTTCCACCCCCTCATCTTCC